AAAACCATTAAAATACCGAAAATCGGGAGGTACCGTTATATGAGGGCTATACCAAATCATGGACCCATGCATGCAATGTTTCGCCACCGAAGCTGGAACCCATTATGACCAACAAATACCAATTTTCAGACAAATCCGTGGAAAAATGTGGCAAAAATAATCAAATTACCGAATATCGGGAGGTACCGTTATATGAGGGCTATACCAAAACGTGGACCTATAATTACAATGTTTCGCCACACGAACTAGGACCCATTATGAACCACAAATACCAATTTTTAGACTAATCAGTAAAAAAATGTGGCAAAAACCATCAAAATACCGAATATCGGGAGGTACCGTTATATGGGGGCTATACCAAATCATGGACCCATACATGCAATGTTTCGCCACCGGAGCTGGAAACCATTATGACCCACAAATACCAATTTCCAGACAAATCCGTGAAAAAATGTGGCATAAATCATCAAAATACCGAATATCGGGAGGTACCGTTATATGGGGACTACACCAGAACGTGGACCTATATATCTCATTTTCAATACCAACCATCCAAGACACAATGCAAATAGCTCTGCTAAATTTTGGCGCTCTACGTCAAATAATGTGGGCTGTATCGTGATTTCAACAGACAGATAGACAGACGGACAGACAGACAGACGGACATCGTTAAATCGACTTAGAATTTTATGCTGATTATGAATATATATACTTTATGGGGTCTAAGACGAATATTTAAGGATGTTACAAACGGAATGACAAAGTTAATATACCCTCCTTTCCAAGGTGGAGGGTATAACAATCAAAATACCGAATATCGGGAGATACCGTCATACAATGTTTCGCCACCGGAGCTAGAACCCATTATGACCAACAAATACCAATTTTTAGCCAAATCCATTTTTTGAAAATTTCCAAATTCGTTCCAAATGGTGGAGGGTATTCTAAGTTCAGCCCGGCCGAACTTACTGCTTTTTAACTTTTTGTTGGTGTAGGGTACTAGAACTAGCCATAGAATAAAATTGTACTGTTTTTACTTATCTAACAAAGTTCTATGCAAAAGTTAAGCTCATACAGATTACATTTATACGGCAACCCTGTTTCTAACTGCGTCCAACTTCACCCGATGGTTGGAAAATGAATTTGGGGAAGTCTCTATAAGCTAATTTATCACAATTTTTCACGTGATGTGTAATTTACTAACGTAAATATTAAAAAAATAAACACGAAGACGTGGACCTGCACAGACAAATTTCTGTCGTACGCTGTAGTATCCATTACGAACTTCAAATATCAAATTTGAAACAATTCTGATGAAAACGCCCTAAAATCATTAAAATACCGAATATCGGGAGGTACCGTTATATAGGGGCTTTACGAAGAGGTCGACCTCAGACAATTTTCTGTCTTAGACTGTAGTATCCATTACGAACTTTAAATACCAAATTTGAAACAATTCCGGTGAATAAATTCTCTAAAATCTAAAACGTGGACCTACACAGACAATTTTCTGTCTTAGGCTGTAGTACATGGCCCATTTTCAATACCAAAAGTCCTGCAGACTACTACTAATCTACTTCAATTCGTTCGAAAGCTAGAGTGATTTCCACAGACAGACAGACGGGCGGACGTACATCGCTAAATCGGCATAGAATTTTATGCTGATCAAGAATGTATATACTTTGTGGGGCCTAAAATGTGTATTTAGATAAAATAAGCCAAAAACGGCAAACAATAACATATATTTGAGATCAAAAAGGATCCGTTTACGACAGATCAAAAAGGATCCATTTTTAAGTGCACCAAAACTCGCAAAAATTGCTAAAAGGGATTTGGGAAAAGTATGTTGTCCTCAAACAATAAGAAATATACTGCATAAGTCGAATTACAATGGAAGAAGAGCTAGACATAAACCTCTTTCAGCAAGTGAAATCAAGAAGTAAGAAAATCGCAATCAAGGAGCACATATGAAAAGATTTTTTATTTTGGAAGAATGTGCTGTTCACGGACGAGAGAAAATTCAACATTTTTTGTTCAGATGGCAGACTTTATGTATGGAGAAATGAAGCGCTCCCTTCCAAAAATATGGAGTCTACAGTGAAGGATGGTGGTGGGTCAGTAATGGGGTGGGGTTAATTTATAGTCTGGACTTGTTGTAGTGCATTTTATTGAGGGTATTATGGATCAGACTATGTACCTTAATATTTTGAAAGAAAGTCTGTCACTCTGTAAGAAAAAGCTCGGTCTTGGCGAAGATTATTATTTTTATCAAGACAATGATCCGAAACACAAGTCATTGTTGCTATATAATTGTCATGGTTGCAATATAATTGTCAATACTCATGTGTACTGCAGTATTTAATTTCATCAACATAGCCAAGGAAAAAAGTATTCCTTAGAGGACTCACTTAGGACTCTATTATTTTATTCGGTGATTCGACAGCAAAGATTGTGAATCTGAACATGCAGAATATAACATCAAAACATAAGGTTGTACCACCGTGTGTTTGGATTATTGAAACTTCAACAAAAATTATTTAGATGTTTGTATATGTAAACGGGTTTCAAATGTGGACAGACGGACTTGTGTTTTAAAATATTCTCTGTGTTCGATTTTGAATGCCCCCAGAAGCTAAAAACTTTTAAATTCTTATTATTTTTTTATAAATTACATATATCTAAAGTAAATACAAAAGTATACGCCATTATTTGCACAATAAACCTGAAATCGCATTAGGGATATATATATAAGACCTATACCAAAATCTTAGCCGATCTCAATAAAATTTGCCAAAGGTATTTCCGAGCTCTATAAGATGTCTGTAACCAAATACCATTGTTGTCGAGTGCATATTACGAATGTGAGAGACTTAAACAATTAACCCGAAATCGGTTGAAGATATATATAGAGCCATATATCCAAATCTGAGCCGATCTTGATAAAATTTGGCAGAGCTATTTCTGGCCTGTATCTGATATCTGGTATCAAATACAAGTCTTTTGGAGTGCATATTACGAATGTGATGGATTTAAACACCAAATCGGATAAAACATATATATGGGAGCTATAGCTATATCTGAACCGATTTTTACCCAACTTTATGTGCTTGATTCTAGAGTGAATTCGGTCGGATGTTTGGACTTATATTGGACATTTGGTGCACAAATAAACCGAAATCGGTTGAAGATTTATGGGAGTTATATCTATATCTGATTCCTTTATAAGCAATTTCAATAGGTTTCGTCTTTGGGCCAAACAAATATTGTTTGTAAAGTTTCATCCCAATCGGATAATAAATGCGACCTGTATTTTGTTTACAAGAATACATGGGCAGACGGACGGTCGGACTGATGTACAAAGACATAATACCATTACCACTATGTGGTTCTAAATTCATATGGATAAACATTTTTGTATTTACATGTTTTTCTAGCCACAACATGTTAAAGTAAACTGAATTATTTTAAGTTTTCATATGGTTTAAACAAATTCCGGATCCAGGATATATAATAACACAAATTCTAGCATTGTGGAAAGATTTTAGTGTCAACTATAATTGTGAACTCCCAAATGGAGCATTTTTTTCGACTTATGGGGTTGTTTTTAAATCTGGGTCCAAAAATCAACGATTTTGATACAACTCCGATACCGTTTTACATAACTCCATGATGTGACTTGTTGGATAGGTATTTTCAATAGCTTTTAAATGAAACCTGATTAGTAGGCCCGGGTCTTGGACTATGGAAAAAATCCGAAAGTTTAAACTAAACTAAAGTCGATCCCAAAACAACACTTTATTGACTTTAAGGCATTTTTAACCGGAAAAAAACTTTCAATACTGATTCATTTACCGGCTTATTGAAGGCTATTTGTTGCTTTTCGTACACTATATAATACGAATTATCAAATCTACCTCCTTACGTCAAATATTCACACAGGTCTTTACACGAATACTGAAAATTCTAACTATTTTGCTCCACTATGCTGGTATACCAAATCTAGTATAATATAGTACTTTTCATATACTATATACTTGGCATTTCCAACGTCACTTCCTTATATAAAAGCCACATACTCACAGCGACTCAAGTACCACAAATCATTAATCCTGTTTCCTACACTTCATGCCAAATTTATCATTTTTCATATAGTACTTATTTCAAAACTTTACTACAATTTATTAAAATTCTTAAAGTAAGAACTTTTACAAAAAAAAAACCTCTATTTAAATCCTACCAAAATATAATTGTTATTGCCGGTTCTATTTCCAACTATATTCTGTTCCCTTTTAGTGCACGTATAGTACAATTTCACTTGTTAGAGTATAAAGTAGTATTCTTAAAAAACTCTCATATCGTAATTTAAAGTAATGGTAAAAAATTTAATTAAAACTATTACAAATATTGTTTTACTAACTGTGGAAGATTTTATTTAACAATATTTTTAATATAAGTAGTTACCAAATATATTGTAACAATGATTTTATGGATATGATCGAATCCAAGTGATGACTAGGCGCAACTATTATAAAGGTTTCGTGGAAATAACACTTGATGTGTCTACATGACCGACAATTAACAAAAAAATATATATTCTTAAATGTGGCTTACAGGAAACGTTTCCATTGACACCAGCAACTGTGATTTGTAGTTTATTGTAGCAAACGAATAGTGGAAATTCGCATGTGAAAATTTCAGCAAATCACATACTAGCACACAATAGCTTTTAACCAATCACAAGCAAATATAAATAAGCTGCCAATCAAAATATTCAACCCTCGCATGCAGCCACAATTTAGAAGCTATCTCAGGCTGAACACACATTTTCGTCTGCTAGAATGAGAGCACTGTGATGATTATTATTTTGATTGGTGGTTGAACTGTGCCAATGAAAGTCGACGACAGATCAGAAACTTCAAAACACATAAACATATTTTAAAAGGGACAACTTGTTCGAGGGCTATCCAGAAGCCATATGATAAGCACTCGTTAGTACTGTTCAGGCCTCTTATTTCATTTGACGGAATAGTGTCGAGTGGTTTTTCATAATAAATTCACTGATGTGGGTTTTCTGTGAGAGTGTTTAAACGCAAGAAGGAAAAACTAAAAATATTTTGTTTGAACATTGTTCTTTAATTACAAAACTCTCTCGATACCCGTGTTCTAAAAATATTTATCTGATGTATAACCAACCTTCCTACCAGACTAAATTTCATACTGTAGTAACCACTACACTACCATTTTAGACAAAGGCAAATTTACAAGTTTTGGTGCATTTATACAGTAAAATTTGATTATAATAACATTTTTCTGTAAAATAAGTTTGTTCAAACTTCAAATATGTAAAGTTAGCAATTTATAATCTTTGCATTCTTATGTACGCTTTATCGAATATTTATTTAAGGTTGTTTTTTTGTTAAAATGGTTAACTCATCGAAATTGAACGTAGACTTTCATAATTGACATAAAATCACCGTTCTATATTAATATATGCACCAACCACGCTACACATGTCCAATCATGGTAGAAGAATACAGGTAGTCGCATTGAAGCAGCAGCTGGGACAAGTCAAACTGATTTTGGAATTGAAAATGTTGAATGAAAAATTATTGAAATTTGTAAAAATTGTGGAAAAATTCATAACAACCTCCGATGTGCATGCTATGACCAAGTACTTTCAAGAAACTACTAGCTATACATTTTTTACGATATCATAAAAGGGAAAAGCGGTTATCGTAGTAAAAACTTTTAAATTCTTGCAGCGGATCAATAGAGAACAATGTTATATATATATATATATATATATATATATATATATATATATATATATATATATATATATATATATATATATATATATATATATATATATATATATATATATATATATATATATAGAGAGAGAGAGAGTTAAAACCCTAAATAATAATATACACATATATTTTAAAGTATACATTAACTGTTTATAAAAGGCCCATGTAAGATGGTTCTCTACCCCCAAAGTAGCATAAACACAGATTTAAAGTCAAATCGATTCTAAAATATAATCAAAACCCTCGAAATAGGTAAAATCAGAAGGTACTTTTATATGAGCCCTACTCCGAAACATTGACATTGAAAATTTTCCGCGAAGAGGTCTTTTACCAGAAGCTACATGCCAAATAAGGACAAAATCAATTGAAAATTTTACTGTTTATGGTTACTTTTAAGGGTTCGGAAGAATTTTCCGAGTATATGAACCCTTTTCGTACTATTTTTTTCAATTCACTCCACTATTTTGTATTGTCCGCAGATATCACTGAACACATATCTTCATGATTTTGGCAAATAATAGGATTTTAGATAAATCGAAAACTAAACACAGATTTAAAGTCAAATCGATTCTAAAATATAATCAAAACCCTCGAAATAGGTAAAATCAGAAGGTACTTTTATATGAGCCCTACTCCGAAACATTGACATTGAAAATTTTCCGCGAAGAGGTCTTTTACCAGAAGCTACATGCCAAATAAGGACAAAATCAATTGAAAATTTTACTGTTTATGGTTACTTTTAAGGGTTCGGAAGAATTTTCCGAGTATATGAATCCTTTTCGTACTATTTTTTTCAATTCACTCCACTATTTTGTATTGTCCGCAGATATCACTGAACACATATCTTCATGATTTTGGCAAATAATAGGATTTTAGATAAATCGAAAACTTTTTCTTTGCATAAAAAACTAAATCGGGGTAGGACCGGTCTCAACTGATTCAATTACCAACGAACAACAATTGGTTTATATATATTATAAAAAGGAGGCGTGATCAGTTCCTCAGCCTTAGAATTGGAGGGAAAGTCTGCAGTATGTCGTGGAATAATTTTAAAACCGATATCTTCATTATGTGGTAAATATAAGGATTTTAGATAAATCGAAATAGTGGGCGTAAAAGTAGACGTGGTCAATATTTTTTCTTTAAAAACCTAACTCGGGGTATGGTGAAAGTTTGTACAAAAAATTATGCAAATTATGTTTGTACAATAAAATAGAATATAGATAGATTAAATACTAAAGTAGCATACATACAATTTATTTGAATAGGTCGGATGCATTTGTTTTCTAATTTTTGTCATTATACACCTAGCTTCAATAAAACATGGGAGAATACTGCCCAGTTACGTAGAGCTAGTAATCAGTGTTGACATAATAGTTGATAGTGGGTCCAGAAATGAGTAACATATATTGAAATTTTCGAGCTTTTTCAAATCTTCCTCGATGGATGTTAAATACGCAGCAGTTGCAGAATATACGTTTATCTTTAGTTGCACTTGGTCTTCTATAATTTGGGCTTCAGTGTTTCAAAATAATCATATTTACAACAAAACAATAGAGGAAACTTTTTCATGAACAATCGAATTTTGTTGTGAAAAAATGTCGAAATCGTTTGAACCTTTCAAACAAACGTAAAATTCGTTTAACTGAAAAAAATGTACACCGAATATGATAATTTAAGCACTAATTCTTTGTCGTGTATTCGGGGTTTTTTCTAACTATATTGATACTACATACCATATTTCCACCAATGGCGTCAGTACATTTTCCGATAGGGAAAATGAGAGATGAATGAGGACTACCTATTTTTTTTTTTCAAACAAACGAGATTGTAAACACCTTGTTTTGAAGTAATTTACATTACATAGTTAAAAGCTGTATTTCGTTTTAAAACATTGTGTAATGTTTTTTTTTAACCAGTGCTCATTGTGAGGACTAAAATAAGTCCCCAAAGCATAGACATTTCTCTATATATACCAACATTGCCATTTTTCCCGTACATAGCCCGAGCTCCAATAGCTTTCCTTATATATAGCATTTTCAAATTAGATGAAACCTTTTGCAATTGAAATTAAACCTTTTGCAACGGAAATGAAACGTTTTTCAGTGTGAAATAAAAACTTTTGCAATGGAAATGAAACTTTTTGCTATGAAATTAAACCTTTTACAACCGAAATTAAACTTTTGGATTTATGGAAAGGTGCATAACAAAATTGTAATAACATATTGTTATTTTTTGATTTCATATAAAATATTTCCACATTATCAATTTTCTTAATACTTAACTCTAACGAAATTGAAACAAATTTTGATCCTTATTACTATAAATTTAATGGGCAGGACTGAAATACGAAATTTTACTTAATTATAATAATTTATAGCTATATATCAAACTGTTAATCTAACCTAATAACGGATTTCCGCTTCGCAGCTTGTTTGATTTGTATACCCTCCGCCATACATTGAATGGAGGGTATATTAAGTTCGTCATTCCGTTTCTAACTTATCGAAATAATAATATCTTTATCAGCATAAATAATTTAGCCCTGTCCGTCCGTCTGTTGTGATCACGCTAGAGTCAAAACGAATTACGGTAGGAAGTTAAAACTTTGCACAGATCAGTCTTTTGTGTGCAGACAGGTTAAGTTCGAATTTGGCCTATATCGGTGCACGATATCAAATAGTCCCCATATAACGGTACCCCACGTTATTGGGTATTTTGATGATTTTAGCCACATTTTTCAGTGTAATTCTCTTAAAATCCACACAAGGAGTTCTGAGTACTCAACCCCCTGAAAGAGAATTGTCTATATAGGGCCCATATAACTGTATCTTCCGGTATTCTGTATTTTGATGATGTTAGCCACATTTTCCAATGGCATAGTTTTAAATTCAACACAAGATGTTCTCTGCGAATACTTTACCCCCTAAAAGGGAATTTTCTTTGTAGGTCCACGATATTGTATAGCCCCACGATTTTCGGCATGTTGATTATGTTAGCCCCATTTTTCAATGAAATAGTCTGCAAATCCACACAAAGAGTTCTCTCTGAGTACTTTACCCCTGGAAGAGAATTGCCTATATAGGTCTACGTTTTAGTATAGCACCCATATAACGCTACCCCGATATATTCGGTATTTCCAGGATTTTCGTAACATTATTCACCGGAATTGCGTCAAATTTCGTATGTGAAGTTCGTAATGGGTACTTCAATCTACGTCTTAGTATAGTACCCCGATTTTGGTATTTTGATGATGTTAGCCACATTTTTCAATGGAATAGTCTGAAAATCCACACAACGAGTTCTCTCTGAGTACATTACCCCTGGAAGAGAATTGCCTATATAGGTCTACGTTTTAGTATAGCACCCATATAACGCTGCCCCGAGATATTCGGTATTTCCGGGATTTTCGCAAAATTATTTACCGGAATTACATCAAATTTCGTATGTAAAGTTCATAATGGGTACATAAATCTATGCCGGAAAATTGCCTATGCAGGTCCACGTCTTAGTATAGTCCTCTCTTTATTCGGTATTTTGATTCTATTAGATACATTATTCACCGGAATTGTTTCGAATTTCGTACTTAAAGTTCGGAATCGGTACAACAGCATATGATTATCCAGCGATAAGAAATAAGAAATTTTATTTGAACGATATTTTCCGACAGAATTTGTTTTCCTTTCTAATGGTGGAGTGTATTAAAATTTCGAGCCGGCCGAACTTAGCTTCTTTTGTACTATATATACTGTATAGTTTTTTAGCGTTAACAAGATTTAATATGGAAATATTTTATATGAAATCAATAAAGAACAATTTTTTATTACAATAATTGAAAAACCATGAAATAATATTGGTAAACATAGACATTAAGAATCAAAAAAGTTCCTCTTTAAGTATAAATTAGCAATAATTTGTTGATTTAATTTAAAATTTGCTACAAATAAAAATGTTTTGCTAGGTTTTTTTTTCTATAAAGTAAAAAATTTCAAATGCAAAAGGATTAATTTCCGCAGCAAAATGTTTCATTTCCGCTGCAAAAGGTTTCATTTCCACTGCAAAAGGTTTTATTTCAATTGCAAAAAGTTTCATTTAATTGAAAATGCTATACATCGTTGCCCGTTTTGTATATCTCTTACGTAATGCTGTATTCTAAAATTCGTATTTCTCAAATGGTGTTAAACTGAATGAGCCCTACTTTTACATTTAAGCTTTAACTACTGACATAACCCCTGTATAAGATTATCATTCAATTTATGGGGTTCAGAAGAATCATGGAGGATAGAAATCTTTCAACAAAGGTGATTGCCATATGAAAGTAGTATGTCCACGTTTTGATACAAGGCCTATATGGCTAGGCCGGTCGATTTAGGCGCTATGTAAATCCATATCTGTGTTGAATTAATGCCACAACCTGATATGTCGCTTTATATGTTGACTTAGGCGGCTAGGCTGATGAGAATAATATTTAATAGAATTTGAATAGGATTAATTAATTATTAGTATAAACATCGTTTAATATACAATTTCACGC